ACAGTGTGCCTCAAGGTGGCTCACAGGGGACAGGGGCCAGATTCTTCTTCCCTGTGGCAAGTGAAGACACTGCTGGGAGTTACCGCTGCCTCTGTCTGACCCAGTCCGGCTTGCCTGAGCACAGTGAGCCCCTGCAGCTGCAGGTGACAGAGGAGGACTACTCCACTCTGTCCTCAGGTTGGTCCCAGGACCCTGCACCATGTCCCAGCTGGGTCTCTGTCCTTGGGCTTCCTGCCCTCCTGCTCACCCCCAGCCCTGGGCTCCCCTCCCTCTGCACACATGACCCTCGGCCTTCGCCCCTGGCTCAGGGCCCTGGAGTCTGGTCCCATCTGGACACCAAGGTCATCTGGATCCTGATCCCAGGATCAGAGGGGACACAGAGATGTCCTGCTGGGCTGGGTGGGGCCTGAGCTTCCAGCCACCAGGTGGGGACAGACCCCTTCAAGGGCCCCCGAGTCCTTCCCCTCAGGATGGTGGTGCCCTGCCCTTTCCCCTGGCCGGGCTTTGGGGGGCCCAGGCAATGTTTCCCCTGGGGTCCCCCCTCCATGGGCAAGTCCCATGCTCCATGGGGTCCCTGACCAGGGCTCGGCCATGCTTTGGGGCCTTTTTGGACGAGGCTGCCCCTGGCCTGGTGTGGTCAGACCCTGAGATGAACTGAGGGTCCAGCAAGGACTTGGAGAGGGAGAGAGGGAGGGAGTGACGGAAAATTCTTCCTTTAACACCAAGTGTCTCCTCTCTCCTCTTTATCCTGCTGTGACTAACCCATCCCATGAGTGGGAGTACAGCCCTGAGTTGGCCCCCAATATTGAGGCCTGGAAACGTCCACCAGTTGATCCTGAACCTGTGACCCTCACTGTCTTAGGAGGCTGTGAAACCAGTGGCACAAGGAGGCTTCTGTAATGGGAGGGATTAGAGCTAAGCTGTGGCTGAAGTAATGAGGGAATGAGTGACTGAGGGAATGAGTGCTGGGGCTCAGGCAGCTCCTGCCTCTGTGGGGATTCGATAACTTGGATGCCTTCTTCCTGTTTCAGGAACGGAGCCCTCTCCCCCCAGCCCAGCCCAGTTTAGATACTTGGGGTTTCAGGAGCCTCAATCACAAAGAAGAGGAAATGGTCTGAGAGGACAGTGGGAAATGCAGAGGGAACCTCAGTGAGTGCTGCTCTGAGGACATGCCCAGAAGTTAGGGGTTTTCACCCACTCATGTTCTGTGCACATGTCTGGGCTGGTACTGCACCCTGAAGTCCATTAGACTTCCCATGGATCCCTGCAGCCCCATTGGTCCCCACAATCTCCCTCTGCTGCCTTCAGACCCAGCCAGGTCATACCCACCATCTCCCACTCTAGCGTCCCTGTCCCCATGAATCACCTCCTTATCCTCACTTTCTGCCTCCCTCCCAGCCCTGCCTGCCCCCCTAGAGAGTGGCCATGGGGAGGGGGACCTACCCAGAGGCCCAGGCTGCTCTGACTCCTCCCATGTTCCCCTGAAAAATTCCATGATGTCACCAGAACTTGTGTCACGTGGGGAAGTCCCTGGAGGGATGAGTACTCAGTCCCCTGGAGGGGGCAGAGGGGTGGTCTCTTGAGGAAGGGATGGTGCAAATGTTCTAGATTTGGGCTGTGGTGGTGGTTGCACAACTCTGCAAGTTTGTTATGAATCATTGACATATGCTTAAAACACGGGCGGTGTGAGGTGTGAGGTGTGGCAATTTCCTCATGATGGAGCCTGAGATCCTGCTCTGCTTTCTCCCAGGGGCCCTGCCCAAACCCTCCCTCAGGGTTGAGCCAGGCCCTCTTCTCACCCTTGGACAGCCTGTGAGCTTCGTGTGCAGTTCCCTGGTTTGGGCTCCGTCATTCCGCCTGGAGAAGGATGGAAGACCTTTATACCTTAATCATATATATGAGCTTCAAGATGGTTCGCAGAGGACAGAGACAAGATTCCACATCTCCGCGGTGATTGACGACACTGCTGGGCATTATCAGTGCTGCTATGAACTTGAGTATGGCTGGCCTGAGTGCAGTGAGCCCCTGGAGCTGAAGGTGACAGAGGAGGACATCTGGACACCATTCTCAGGTGGGTCCCAGGGCCCTGCTCTCTGTCCCAGCCCCGTCTCTGACCTCGGGCTCCCTGCGTTCCTGCTCACCCCCAGCCCTGGGGCTCCTCTCCCTCTGCACACATGACCCTGGGCCTTCACCCCTAGCTCAGGGCCCTGGAGTCAGGTCCCATGTGGACACCACGGTGGTCTGGACCCCGAGTCCCGCATCAGAGGAAACACAGAGCTGTCCTGCTGGGCTGGGTGGGGCCTGGGCTTCCAGCCACCAGGTGGGGACAGACCCCTTCCAAGGGGCCACCGTCCTTCCAGTTAGGATGGTGGTGCCCTGCCCTTACCCCTGGCCAGGCTCTGTGGGGCCCAGGCAATGTGTCTTCTGGGTTCCATCCTCCATGGGAATATTCCATGGTTCTTGGGGTCCCTGACCAGGGTTGAGCCGTGCTTTGGGGCATTTTTGTATGAGGCTGCCCTTGCCTGTTGTGGTCAGACTCTGAGATGAAGTGGAGTCAGGGTCCAGCAAGGACATGGAGAGGAAGGGAAGGAGGGAAGGAGGGAAGGAGAGAAAATTCTTCCTTTAAATCGAAGGGTCTCCTCTCTCCTCTCTCTTCATCCTGCTGTGACTCAGACATCCATGGGTGGGAGCACATGCCCTGTGGTGGCCCCCATCCATGAGGTCTGGGGTGTCCACCCTGTGGATCCTGACCCTGTGACCCTCCCTGACCCGGGGGACTGTGGGTGGAACAGTGGTCTGAAGGTTCTCCTTCCTCCTCCCTCTTCATCCTGCTGTGACTCAGACATCCATGGGTGGGAGCACATGCCCTGTGGTGGCCCCCATCCATGAGGTCTGGGGTGTCCACCCTGTGGATCCTGACCCTGTGACCCTCCCTGACCCGGGGGACTGTGGGTGGAACAGTGGTCTGGTGAGGTGAGCTCAGAGTCCAGGCCCTGTGACCCTGTGGCCAGGTCAGAGGGCTCCCACCTTGTGTGTCCATGGACAAGGACTAGCTGCCCTGTGCTAATGTAGGGAGGGTGGTGGGACATTCTGAGGGGTGACCAGCCCCCCA